AAAATTGTTTCTTATATTTTAGGCCTTGTACTTGAAGATCACATTCCCTACTCCATCCCGTTTTCTTTGGGAGCTTGGAGATGTTGTTACAACTCCATCCTGTTTTCTTTGGGAGCTTGGAGATGTTGTTACACACTCAAATCTGGGGTTCAAACTCATTTTAGAGGTATAAAAAAAGGCAAATTCCTCATGAAGTCCTGGCCTTACTGTCACTGTGGAAAAATCCCTCAGATAGGCAGCAGGTACTCCAAGCACTGCCGTTATTGTGGCCTGCTTAGAGTTGGCCAACCCATCTGGACTGGGGAATCAAACCTTCTACAGGGGGGCCTAAGCACCTTATAAATGTGCAGAGAGAGAGCTCACATCAGCCCACCTAAGTCTCATTGCTTCGCCTCCCTCACAATAAAAGCAATACAGACACAGGCTCAAAAATCAGCCCTCTGGTTAAATCTAAGACACAGCTGTGCGTTGGAATTATGTAGGCGAGGTCACTCCCTGCTTTTCATGAGGCCAATGAATTTCAAAACAAACTGATGGTAGGAAAAAGTAACTTCCAACAAGAATTCAATTTGCATCTCATCCGTTTATACAAAAAGGTGTTAAGTCAGATCGGTCTCCTTTTTGAGGCAGGCAGTAAAAGCAAGAAAAAGAGCTGTAGATCTATCTAACTCCATCATGTCCCAGGAACAAGGAAGTCTGGAGATCTGAAACCATGACAATACTAGATGAAGCTTTCTGGATTTAGATGCATTAATAATTTAGGACAATTGATCCTGGCATTTCTGTTCCAGCTGATTATTGTATTATTTACGCTTCTTTATGTTTTGGGTTTCAACTCCCTCCCTCCCCTCTGGGAGCAGCAGCCTGCGATTCGCTTTGCATTATTCTGCCTTTTGCATCAGAATTGCCTGAGAAATGAAAATAAATGGAAGGAAATAAACATAAAAGGCACAAGGACGTAGCTTATGATTATTTTATAATTCAATATTTACTCCTATGAGGTATTCTGGGCAGTCTGCAATAGATAATATCTCACAAAACAAACTGCTCACTCCATCCCAATCTTTAGCTTTCCGAAGTAGAGTACTTTTAAAGACTGATAGATTTTTAAAGTTTGTACATATTGACTATAGGCTTATTACAGTGTCTTCACTTCTGGACTCGAAACACTGACTTTTGGAATTCAGCAAATAAGTTACACAGCTAATTATAAAAGAACAGGCAAAATAAATGAAGTGACAGTGTTAAGTCAAAGACGTCCTTTCCTCTTCTGTGTGCACAGACTCTACACGAAAGGTGGTCCTGCTTTAGCAGGAGGAGTTGGACTAGATGATCTCTGTGGTCCCTTCCAACTCTAAAAATTCAGTGAAATTCAGTGAAACTTTCAGCTGTGGTCTTGGTTTTAACTAGAGGGCAGAGCAAGAACAAGCTGCCTAACTCCATGCCATTGACAAACATCATGTGCCAGAATTTTTCTGAGAGATAACAAAGCCTTTTATTCAAGCATCTTTTGCTTTAATTTTCAACACACTCTGACTTCATGAAGGACCTAACTACATTACCTTCCCTTACACTGAATGGGATGGTGCTGTACAACTAGCTCAAACAACTCCTGTAAAACAACATTTGAAGCAAGAAACTTCTCAATTTGGGTAAAATCTGCCAGTAAGCAAATAGTGGTTTTGAGAAGAGGTGTTTTAGGTCTTCTCTCATGTCATTTGCAGTCTAAGTAACAGCAGCACTAATATCTGCTCAAAACCCAGTTAGAAGGAGTTATTTTCTATATAACTGCTAGGTGTTGAGACCTAATGATGTTCAGAGATGTGGATTCCAGGATGGGCTAAACGAAGCTGTGGCTGCTGACAAGGGCAATGTCCTGACCAGCTGAAAGAGGCAGGGTAAAGCTTCACCTTCGTGGTCAAAGCTGGCCCTTAGCAAAGAAAGGAACATAAAATTTGCAGCAGCAGAAAGAAAATAAAGAAGAGAGACTTTCTCTACCCAAAGATGGGTGTTTTCTCATGGAAACTCAAGTGGCCTCAGCTGCTCCTTGTGTGTGTGTGTCATGGGGGGGTCATATGTTTATTTAGATACACTCCGTATCATGTTTTCTTTCGGCTAATCATAAATGGCTTCTACTCAGCACACAAATGATCAAATTGCTTTTTGCCAAGATGTCAAAGGAAAAGAGGATGTCAAAGGACATTCAGGCTGTCAGACTTCTGAAACAGCATGGACACCGAACCCTTCCACACCCACTGTAGAGAAACAAGTGTTTCACATCGTCCTGCTGAGTTCGGTATCTAATTTTTCATTAATTTCATACTTTCCTTTCAGTGTTCTGATCAAACATTACCAGAACTCGTAACACTTTCAGACAAATTGATAAAACATTTTAGCAAAATAAACTTATGGACCCATTGTCAAAACAAATTAAGAAACTGCTAAGAAAAAACAAATGGGGTTTTCAAATACCTAAAATGTAATTAGGGTTGATAGAATAAGACAATTTGTCAATAACTAGGAGCTCTAGCAGATCACAAGATGCTGTGATTGCTGCAATCCTTAGTTCAGTAGGCTATGATAAGGTAGGCAGGGAAGAAGATAAACTCTTTTATGATATCTACTAAAACCTGAATACTAGCCATTTGAAATCTCCCAAAGTATCCACTAGATATTTTATTTCTAGAAATTAAATTTCTCCAGATTCTGCATTCCTCCAGATTCTGCATCAAAAACAGTGTTCAATTTTTCAGCTCAAACACATACTATATAATCAGACAGGTAAAATATTGGGCTTCTAAAAAAATTAGCTGTATCTGCACAAAGAAGTTTAAGTTTTGGTAGCAGCAGATATATTTGGAAGCCTAAAAGGATATGGTGATGTTAAAGTAATTTGCTTACGTTCTTGCCGCAGCAGATATATTTGGAAGCCTAAAAGTTGATGTTAAAGTAATTTGCTTACGTTCTTGTCCTAGTCTGACATAAACAAGAATCCTGCACCCACTACCTGCAGCCTCTTGTTATTTATAATATAATCTCCTTAGTGTCACAAAGACCAGTATCGTGTAGCCCAGTGTCACCCAGATTTACACAAAAAGGAAAAAGCTACACGCTGCACACTCAGGAACATCCTATTTATAACACTTTTTTCATCCAAAAGAAGCATGTGGAGATGGATATAAAACAAGCAGATAGCACACATATGGCAATCAACATTGTGGAGGCATATGCACAACATACCAACTTTATATTAAAAGAATTATTTTAAATAAGGCTTTTGAGCTATATTTGAAAACTCGGAAATGCAAGGTGGTTACTACCTTTTGTTACTCAATTTAATTCTGGGGATTAGCACTTAAGAGCAATAATTTTAAGAATAAAAAGGAAAGGCAGTTTTCTGTGACACAATGTTTATGTAACGTACATCTAGATATCAGATTTCCTAAATTGTTCTCTGTATTTCCTAAGACAAAAAATTCTTCAGGAAGCTTGCCTACTCTGAGATACCAATTATTCTGCTGTAACACAGCTAGCAATCACTCTCCAGAAAGGATGGTTTTATCCAGTTTCAGCTATTTGGTTTTATCCAGTTTCAGCTATTCAGAGAAATGTTTTATTGAGTTTACAAATAAGGACTCTCAATATTCTATTTCCACTTCCCTTTCTGTAGCATAAATCATATGGCCTAAGCATGTCATTATGACTCTAATTTACGTGATGCAACATGACAGTTAAGATGTACTGTGGTAATTTGTGAGTGCTTTCAGTATTATTGTAGTATCAAAAATTTATATGGTTCAGTTATTAAGGCAAATTGCTTTATTCATACAGAGCTATCTGACAGTAACCACAAAGGACCTCCAAATTACACTGAAAAAAAATATCTTCCACGTTCAAATAATTTGTGCACATTCTTACCATTATTTTGCTCACTGAATAGAAGCAGGATGAAATGCTGTCTGGAAAAGTATCTGTTCATATCTCAGGGAAGATTATAGAAGAAACTCTCTCCCTTGCCCAGCTAAATGAGCCTGACTATCTTTAACAATTTATAGCCGTGAACAGGATGCCCAATTCTTTGGAATGATGCTATTGAGTTTCAACATGCTCACTTACCTTCTGTCACGTTGATTTTCAGCCAGCAGGAAGAAAATAAATAAATAAGAGTTTGACTAGCCTGAAGAGACTACAGAGGAAAATGTGCTCAAGTGTATTAACGTTAGCATTTCTGATAAGTTTTAGCATGATCGGGTTTAGGGTAAATGGAAAGCTGTTTAGCTGCCTTCACGTTTAGGACACATTCAGTCCTCAATTCTACTCTCTGAAAAAAATATATGAGATTTTCATGGAAGTATCACGTATGATGGCAGAAAGTCTAATGGGTGAGAAGCCTCATAGTCAGACCACTAAAGCATCCAAGACTTTAGAAAGCTAATATTTGGTATTAACCTGCAGGACATGAATATATGTGTAGAAGCACACATGGGCACATGCAGACTTGGATAAATTCATGCACCAGAACTGGCACAGAGCTCACAACAGCATTTTCCGAGTTCTAGGGCAGAGAGCTACACACAGACACAAGTTTCTTGCCAAACATTAAAGTTTTGTAACACACCCCCACAACATCTGATACACAACTTGCATCTCTGCAAAGCAGACGAGGGAACTGGTTTTCAAAGCTGAGGACAAGGTGGGAAGAGAACAGGACAAGCTGAACCACACACCAGCTAATTCATTCAAAAAAACAAGGCTGCAAACTATATAGGCTTCTGTAATACCTGACAGCAGGAGCCTGAAGAGGGCTCAAGGATACTGAGTTATTTTTCCCTACTTAACTTTTTGCCTCCCAAGGATACTCCACATGCCTCATTCCTTTCGGCAATTTTGCTGGTCAAACAGCCATCCAACTTAACCTTCCCTCAGTTCTCCTCCCTCTTCAAAGTCTTCTTTTTTCAATAAATCAAATTAGCGTTTTGGAAAGTACCATCTGCACTTACTTTGTTGCCCAAGTAGGAGCTGGGTGCGCTCCAGTAATAAGTCTGTGGCAGGACTTTTCGCGCAGCCGCGTCGCTGATGCTAAATTGTTGATGCCCATCGAATCTCTTGAGCTCGGGGGTTACTCTGATGAGACCTGCTAAGTCAGTCAGATACCAGCCATTCATGTCTTCTATCTATAATGACAGAAAAAACCCACCAAAAAAATCCCACATTAAAATGACAAGCAGGAAATCAGTAATTTCAACAGTCACATCCTCTCATTCATCTATTTTAAAAAACTGATTTAGTCTATATGAATAATAGCAGTTTAGAAACAAAGGAAACAACAAATTAATACCAGCAAAAATTCCTCTTATTGTATGAGACTGGGATTTATAACTTCTGAGTAGCTTGAAGTAATTGCAAGTATATGCTTTCCCTGCTTTATATGGTCCACAGCGAGCAGGAAATTCTATTGTACAAACATATGCATAAGAATATCTGCAAATATTATACAAGTTTTCAATAAATAATATTAGTCACAGAGGGTACAGAAGATGAGCTGACAAATGGATATATATTTTCAGATTTTTTTTTTAGACAGCATAATTTATAATGATTTGTAATTCTAAAGCCTTACAACTTATAAATATAAATATACATTTTTCGGAAAGCCAAAGCAAAGCTGCAAAGCACCAGAACTTGGATTTCTGAAACCCCATAACTAGAAATGAATCACCAGAGAAGAGCACACTGTTCAAACAAGGAAGGCTTCTGGAGCCTGGATACAAGCAGAACAATAAATTAGCTCAGCCGTGGGATGGAACACTTTCCAGCTGCTGGCATGTAAGTGAGCACACTAGGCATATATGATTTTATTTGCAGACTTTCAGCATACCAATACAGCCAAACCAGGGAGCTCGTAGACCTGGAAGGCATTTCCCAAACTCAATCTACAGACTTGTCTATGTAGCTTACATCCGTTACAGTGGGACCAGTGCTTGAGCTTGGAGAACTAGTTTAAAGTTGAGAGTACATTTGCAGGCTAAAGACATTTTTCTACAGCACAAATAAGAGCAGTAGGTTCATCTCCGGTTCATACCCTTTCCTAGGAATACAGTAGGCACAAGAAATTCACTCAAAATCCCCCCTTTTTCTTACATAAAACGTGTGTTGTACATTTAAAGTTTCAAAATTCTTAAGTATTTCATTTAATAATGACCTGGAAAAGAGGTTGCCCTATGGATACGTTGCATTTAACTCAGGACTGATCATGTACACACGTTCCAGGACTGTGTTTAGGCACACAGCTTCATTTTTACTGTTATAATTTCTTTTGCACTTCTCACTGTTCAACTGCACTTTTGCAGAGCTTTCTCACAATGAAGAGAACCAAAGCTTCTTTTGCATAAATGAAAAATATATGGGGCATAAAAGAACATTTTAGAAGACGCGCTCTGGTGACAAGAGACAGTGACAACAGCAGAAACACAAACCCAACGACGTGCTGATGTGGTATGATTTCTCTTACATTTCCGTAGGTAAGGTGAGAGTGTGTGCAGACATCTGTTTTCCCAGAGCAGAAACATTCCTCACAGCCTTTGGGATTATTTTGCTGCAGATTGAAGAAACCTGGTTTGCAACGATCACAGTTTTCTCCTTCAACATGTTCCTGGAAATGCACATTAGAAAATTACTTCAGTTGTCATAGATTATACTTTATACTCTGCATGTAAATCACAGGACACAGTATTTGGACATTGTAAGAGTTTCAATTGTTCTTCTACATGAACGGACACACCTGATTTCGGGGAATAATCTAATTTCTCTCCTTTACACTTGAGCATATGAGGAGGGAAGGCAGGATGGGACAGAATATTGCAGCCTCAACAACTGTGGGTTTTGGCATGGCTGATAAAATCTGATGCAAACTCCAGGTACACATTATTAGTTGTACCAACCATTCAGCACAGCCAATTTTCAGTGGTCTATCATCAATAGCTGAACTCAGGCTAAATCCAAGTGTTCAAAGGGCTGTATTTCTCCTTCCCATGACTACGTGTGTTTGCCAGCCAGAGCTGCACACTCTTCCCCTGCAGAAAGCCAGGCACTAAACCTATACGAAGAATTCTAAACTTAGCATTTGTTAATTACATTTTTCAGGGAAAGCTTAACGTTGTGCATTAAGTCCTGCCAGCTCACACAATACATCAATTTGTCCTATAGGCAAAGAGAAAGCTGGCTTTTCTACAAGGAGTACCTTGCAAAAGGTTCACGCTATGGTGCTGCCTTAGTAATTCAATATTTTTTCCCAAGATAGCCCAGAAAATTCTCTCCTTTTCAAAAGTGTTATACACAGTCTCTTTAATCCTAGAGACGGTGCTCTACGGCACGCACACAGGACCAAATTGTTGGCTCCACATCAGCAGAGAATGAACACATTATAAAAAGCCTGCCCACGCTGTGTAGTCTGTGATTGCTTGAAACACACAGCTCTGAAGTTAGTTCACCAAAAGCCAACTGATACCTCCTGGGTAAGATCTAGCAAAGTCGGAAAAAGCAGGGTACAGCACGTGGAGGTACGGGGAGAAAGGCTGGAACACACCTTGCTGACGTGCTCGGGGTGTGCAGAGTGAGAAGGGTACAACAAAAGAGCACTGCAAAGCAAAACTATGTGTTTAGATGAAAAGTTGTCCTACTCTGCAGTCACAAACCTCATCAGTGAGTAAAACCTGTATAATTTTACTGAGCAGGCAGCCAGTGGGTAACAGATGTATAAAACTTGAGGTTGGACAGGAGATGTAACCTGTCCTTCAGCCAATGAAGCAATGTTTCTACAGCCTCATTTATTTCTGAATGCTGTGTTCAGTCCAGTTTTAAATTATGCAAAAAATGAGACTTTGACCTCCAGACAGCTCTCTAAGATAATCTGTGATAAAACAGGCATTTATACTTGCTCCTCACCTTTCTGTACATTAGTTTACCACAACCAATGTGATGAACATAACAATCTAATGCCCACTTTGTTGCATTATGCTGCTTACAGTTAGAACTGTTTTTCAGCAGTCAATTTCCTTTACAAGAAAACTATCTTTAGTAAATTTAGAGCTCATCATATGTAATTGAAAGATGTGATTAAAAGAAGGGAAGCATTTTTCCCAAGACCTGCTATTAACTTGTCCAGACATCCCACTTTATTCTTCATATGGAGCATAACTAATCTGATGATTTCAGTGTCCCTTTGACCATAATCTGCTTTGATTTGAATTTGAAGATTGTTAGTGAAAATAAATGTGAGTGTATCTGTATCTCAGCTATCTGCAAAGGGTATAATTTTTCTCCCACAAGCACTTTAAAAGGGATTAGAGGAGAAGAAAGAAGACAAAGGGTGAATAGCGAGAAAAAAGTGTGGACTCCCTCGGATAGGAACAATTGTCTCTATTCCATATTTGTTCATTTTGGTCCCATTGTACTAACAGGTCAGTTTGGCACGACACAAAAAATGTCATAATAATAAGAATCATTCAGCAGTGGGTATCTTGTATTTGGCATGTGACACCTTCATCAAAGCTCCCTTTCAAGTCAGAATATAGCAAAAGCACCCCTTTTCTGATCTCCTACACTTGATAGCTAAGGAATTAGAACTGAGATAAAGATAGATTTTATTTCTGACAGACAGCATGTGACTGTTACACAAAGTGAGGATAAGGTTAATTCTCTGAGTACATTTCAGTGCCATTCAGCTGTCACACCCCAGCTTTATATATATGCAGCATAAACTGATAGATTGAAGTATTTTTTTATACATTGTTGTATTTAAGGATGTAACATAAGTATTTTTAAATCCACATTTGTGACTAATTCTGTTAATTAAATGCTGAAAGGGAACTCCTACAAGTACAACACAGGAAAATCAACCCACAGTACAGTAACTTGTCCTTTGGGCCTCTTCGTGGTCACTTACTAAACCATGAAATACACAGCACCACCATTCCTAAAGCATTCCTGGTAACTAGGTATTTTTTAAGAAGTAGATGCATGTGTTTTTAGAAGTGTTTTTATTTCAATATAATATCAAAATATAATTTGCTGGAGGTACACGAAGGCATACAGAGAATATCAGTCTTGGATTTTCCTCCTAGAAATTAAGAAAATCACCCTAAAGAAAGGATGGATTATTATTTTTTTAAAATATGTTACAGATTATTAATCAACCATCTCAAGGCAGGAAAGAATTCTCTTAGTTTTGAACTTACCAAGAAAAGAGGATTATATCCCTAATAACAACTCCTACAATGCAACTTTTTGTTTGTTCTAATACATCATCAGCTCATTCTGTCTTTTGAAGTCCTATTACATTTTAATTTTAGAGCCCAAAATACTTTAAACATACAGTTTTGAGAACATGAGGATGTGAGTTTGAAATAAATGATTCATTACAATGAAGTACCCTCTCATTACAGGTTTCTAAGGACTGGTATGACTGGCAGCAGGCTCCTAGGTACAGTGTTAATTACAGTGACTCAAGACAATCTAAGACTTCACAGGACCAAGAACAAGTGTTGTATGAGAAGTGACTGACATAGATACTAACACAGCTAGGGAGGACACTGCGATGCTGTTCTACGATAGAAGAACCATTAATTACAACCTTTCCATATCATCAGAAGGTTGCTATGGTTCAGGAGAACTCAACATCCATACCTTGCAGGTGCAGGGCCCTACACAAGGGTCAGCATTCTCACTGCCTTCCAGCGAGCAGTTGCAGGGCAGGCACTCGGGGAACCCTGTATAACCCAGGGCACATCTGTCGCAGCTCTCTCCTGCGTAGCCAGGCTTGCAGTGACAGAAACCAGGCAACATCTCTATGGGAAGAGGGAGAAAAAATAAGGCATATTTGATTTATCATTATTATTACTATTAGTAGTAGTATTATTAACAGATATCTGTGTTCCAGTGCTCTAAACACCACCTTTGGTAGGTGCAACATAAGGGCATACATCTATGTATGGGTCAGTCTCTTCTCCCAAGTCACAGGCGATGGGACAAGAGGAAATGGCCTCAAGTTGCCCCAGGGGAGGTTCAGATTGGAGATTAGGAAAGATTTTTACACTAAAAAGGTTATTAGGCATTGGAATGGGCTGCCCAGGGCAGTGGTTGAGGCACCATCCCTGGAGGTATTTAAAAGCCGGGTTGACATAGTGCTTAGAGACATGGGTTAGTGATGGGTTTTATCAGAGTGAGGTTGATGGTTGGACTAGATGATCTTAAAGGTCCCTTCCAACCCAGACAATTCTATTTATGTCTGAGAGGCTACAATAAAGTATGCAAGAATAGAGCAAGCATATAGTGATTTGCATACTAAGCTTCCAGAAGTCCACATATTAGAGATCTTCTAAACTGAAATGCATCCCTACCTCCTTGCACCTAACATTCCCTGAAAAATGTCTCTTCCATTAATTCACCCTGTCACCTTTGAACACGCTTTTCCTTTCAGAGTCCACAGAGCTCACCAGCAGTAGGTTCCACATTTAACCATGGGTAGAGTGAAAGCAAACACTGATAGGTGTTAAACCTGTATTTATTGCCCTCTAATTCTCATATCAGAGAAAACAGCAAGTAACCATTCCCCACCCGCTTTCTCCATGCCATCTGTGATTCCAATATACCTCGATCATACCCCACATGACATTTTTATTCCATACACCAAAACCTCCTAAGCCTATTTAATATCACTTTAGACAGAAACTGCTTTGTATGCCTGAAAATCTCTGTTGTCATCCGCTGCAACTTTTCCAGCTCTAATAAATTATTGAAGGGGAAAGGAGTGCATAGCGTGGACCTATAAATGGTTTGATGATCTTTTCAGTTTTGTTTTTTAAACAACAGTAATATTTCCTAAGGCTCTGTTGACCTTTTTGACTGCTGCTGAGCCAGCCCTGAGCTGATACATCCAGGGCACGCAGTCCAAGGTCATTCTAAGAGCTGCTTCACAGCTGGTAGTGCCTAAATTCAGAAATTGTTGTCATCACTGTACAAGTAGAACTACTTTTCTCTATGTTCTGCTTTTCCTTTAATTGCCACAGAAATTCATCAGTTATTTCACTACCCAGCCACTGACTATCTTGAGATCTTTCTGAACATTTTGCAGTTCTTTCATTTCTCTGTGCTGAGAGATTTTGTACTTGCTAACTTTGTCACCTTCCTACTCATCCCTTTTCCAGGTTAAATATGAATATTTTCAACAGTTCATACTGTTCATCACTGTGAAAACGGTCCATTTATTCTTTTAACCAAGTACTAATCCATGAAAGAACCTTTCCTCTTTATTCTATTACCCTTTCTTTCATGGTCTTTGGTGAAGGATCCTGTCAAAACTTTTTGAAAATCAAAATACATTATTAATTCAATGAGCCTTTGTTCACACGTTCATTGAATCCTTCAAACAGATTCATAAGGCACACTGTCCTCTACAAAAAAACCTGATCTTGATTTTTGCCCATTTTTGCCACATCTTCAAACAGATTCATAAGGCACACTCTCCTCTACAAAAAAAAACTGATCTTGATTTTTGCCCATTTTTGCCACAGCTCAGAAATGGTATAAATCATTTATTGCTGTTTCACTGATTTGCTTGGCACAGAAACCAGACCTTATGATTTTAGTTACCTTGAACCCTCTGCCCTTCTTTCACAAAATGGATAAACAGTTTCTATTTATGTAATATTAATGTAAGTTTTTAAAAGTATTATAAACTGTATTTAATGATTCAAGCAACTCCATTTTTAACTACATCCAGAAGCCATGGATAAATAAAATACAGGCCTGATGAATTGTTATTCTGCATTTACCAGCTTGCTCTAAACCTGACACGTCTGTTTGAGACAGTTCTTCTGACTCGTCCCCATGAACAAAGACTCCCAAGTGGGAAATTCCCTCAGCTCTTCTATTCACTGATACAAAGGATTAATCTCGTTTTTCCGCTGTGTCCTTTTCTCTCTTGAGATCTCTGGTTATAACTTGATTACACCTTATTCATATTTAACTCCTACTGAATTTGAATCTCTAGCAGTCTTTTTGATTCTGATTTATCTGAAGAAGTACTTCTTAGCAACATTTAAGCATTTAGCAAATTATTCCTTAAAATATGTATATGTGTTATTAAGAGTATGACTTTCCAGAATCTGTCACAATTTATGTCCTTTTCTATTATCCTCAATTGGATATAACTTCTGCTCTTTTCAGGGAGCTTCTTTTTTATTGTTTAAATAGATAATTTTTTCTAGCTTAATTGCGTTGCTTGAATCATTTTGAACTAGAGGAATGCATCTTCTCTGAATGTCTAATACACAGTCTATAAACCCTATTCTTGCCATTAGCAATCTCGGATTGTTCATTTTGATATTCTTTTTCAAGGTTTAAAGGTTTTCTTGTTCTGATTAAGTTGTTTTTTAGGGAGGCCTTCTCATTCCTACAAGAATGTTTAATTTGACTGCCCTTCAACGGGAGAGTTTTAAACCAGTTTCTCATGCATAAATCCAAAGGTGCTTCTCTTTTTATGGTTTCTCTAACTAGCTATTTGAAGAAGCAGTCATCTACAAGAGTTTTAAATTATATTTATTATCTGTTAATCTATACAGAGATGAAATTCAATCTGTCTTCTCTAACCTTGCCGCCTCTTTGATCTCCTGTAGCACATCATATTGACTGCCACCTTCTTGATGTGTCCTAATTATAAACAGAATTTCAGTGCATGAAATTTCTGTGTTACTTTACTACCCCAAAACCACATGATCCATGGCTTTTGCTGCCTGTGGCCCAGTTGATTCTCAAATTTTGGAGTTACCCTCCTCTCAACCAGCCACCGGTGACGCCTCACAGCACAGCAGGCATCAGGCTCTTTTGTAATCTGGGCCAATCCATCCCAGCTAGACAATCTTGTTTTAAGAGACAAACTTCTGTTCCTTGCAGATTAAAAACCCCTGCTGAACAGGGTTCAGCAGTATGAAACCAGGCAAGTCCAACGCTTTAGAAGGGAGCCAGTTTCCAGAACTCATTATTTGGTCTCATGAGTTAAGACTCAGCAACCCCAAATTCAACTATATGTCTCAGTATGGAACAGCTCCCAAATACTCATTTAAATATATAGTCTCTCCTCCACTGCCTAGTCAGTCCAGTTCTTTAGTTCCTCATCAGGAGCCTTCCCTTCCCCTGCTCTTTCCTTCCTCTGCAGTGAAGGAAGAGCGAGCAGGACTGGAAACCCCACTGTCACCAGCCCATCAATCCCCTTTCCCATACACAGACTACACAGTAGTGCATAATTTTCAGCCTACCATTAGAAACCTCCACTCCACAACAGAGAGAGGAAGGCCTAGAGACTATTAACAGACACAGATTCTTCCAGCTCTTAACACTCGTTGATATGGTTAGTCTACACATTTTATGTGGCTCAATGCCTTCTTTCATTTATGGCACTTGCAAGACCCATATCTGTGATGTAGGTTCTCACTGTAACGCAGTGTCCCACTGGTTATCTTTGACCAGGTTTCTGCAGTGCAGATGTGGTGTATACCATGTCAACAGCCTAATTACATCTCCATTTGGGGCAGGTGTTTCAGGTCTGTCTGTCATTGTTGTTGTAATGAGGTAACATTTCAGCAGAAGCACATCTTCTTTTGCTTTTGGTCTATTACTTCCTAAGCATTGTTTCAATGTGGTATTATTTGTTGAAGCTGTTATTCCCTGTTTTCTACCCAAATATTATCAGTTTCTGTCCTATCTGTGACTGTATTGAGGTTTTGAAAGTTAATCCTAGAGGATGAGTCATCTTGAAACGTGACAACCTAGAGACTATTAAGGGACATAGATTCTTCCAGCTCTTAACGCTCATTGATATGGTTAGTCTATACATTTTATGTGGCTCAATGTCTTCATTCATTTATGGCATTTGCAAGACCCAGATGTGTGATCTAGGCTCTCACTGTAACACAGTGTCCCACTGGTTATCTTGGACCAGGCTTCTGCAGTGCAGATGTGGTGTATACCATGTCAACAGCCTAATTACATCTCCATTTGGGGCAGGTGTTTCAGGTCTGTCTGTCGTTGTTGTTGTAATGAGGTAACATTTCAGCAGAAGCACACCTTTTGCTTTTGGTCCATTACTTCCTAGGCCTTGTTTCAATGTGGTATTATTTGTTGAAGCTGTTATTCCCTGTTTTCTACCCAGATATTATCAGTTTCTGTCCTACCTGTGACTGTATTGAAGCTTTGAAAGTTCATCCTAGAGGATGAGTCATCTTGAAACGTGAGTTTTAACGGTCAGTTTTCTCCCAGCCTAACAGTCTTTCAAAATTGCACAAAAATGAACGCACACAAAATCTCGCACCAGACCCTTGAAAAAACCCTGCAATCCCAGGACTGGCCTTCACTATTTTCACTCATATTCAAACAGTGTATAAAATCCAAAAACAACCTCATGGAAGTCAGATGGAATGCTTGCTGAGCAAGGTGCTCTGAACACTGAATAAAGATGGAGATGTCTGGACCTTATTTATCTGACAATGTCTGAGAAAGTTTTTCAGCAAAAATTAACATCTGTCATTGGGATTATATTGTACATGAAGAGACAACAGGGAAAAAAACTGCACTGCACAAAACTCTGCCAGTTTCCAAACCCCACAGCTCTTGCAGGAGCTTACAAGCCGAGTAAATGGTTATTTGTTAAAATCTAGCCACAACACCTTGAAACACGAGCACTCATTCATGGAGCAAGCCTCATTACTGGAGTACAAAGTAGTTCTGAACGTGTAGCTTTCACCTTTGCTTTGTATGGACAACTGAAAGTGACCACAGTATCAGCCACGGTCAAACCATCCTACTATTAGGATGTATGGGACATAGGTGGAGAAATTGAGTTTTAAAATTATTGCCTTTCATTTACAAACCCTACAGACACTTTCAGCAGTTTACTGTGGCAATACCACTGTTTGCAAACACACCATGATTTATTGCAAGTTTCTGGCTCTGTCTTTTCTGTGTTGCTCATGAGCATATCGTATAACATTGCTGTGAAAGAATATTTGAAAAGCATTCTTGAAAACCAAAACTATACTACACAAGCTAGAATAATAATATTTCATTTCAGAAAGCTGAGTGAAATGTGAGGCCAAAGTTATATTAGGCTGATCAAAATGGAAATTATACATGCTTAATATACAAAAGGATTTGTTTTTCTCCTGAAACAATCAATTATAAAGCAAGTCCTTCATGTCCTTCTCTCATCTACCCAAACCCAATGATGACTACAAGATGTAGTCCTTTAAATCCTCTTCTTGCACTCCATCAATGTACCAGGTATTATAGTATTTTCTACAATTTTCCATTTTAATTGTTGCTTACCTACAGTATTCAAGCACAAGGAGAATGTACAGCCTCCAACTTTATTTTCCTTCCTTCATGGTGACTTTATATTCCCACCGATTTTCCTTATTAACATATTTCATTTTTAGTTTAGTGTTTTTAATCCTCCCAACTCATTTGCTTACCACATATTTAAAGAAGCCAATTCCCACCTTACTACCAAGCAAACAATTTATCCTGAAACAACCAGCCAGCAAACTCTGAGATGTGTTTCAGCCTACCCACTGTGCATTCAGTCTGGTTCACAGGTGAACAGGCAGATTCCTTCAGATGGATCACGCTTTCCAGCCTTTCCTTTATGAAGGCTCCCCAGTGCTTCAAACCCAACTCCTGCCCAGGGTGAGCACAGTACAGTCAAAAGAATTTTATCAGGGTATTGAATATAAATTAAAGAGAGGGAAAAAAAAAAAAAAAGGCTAAAAAGCTATCTGCTTTCAGGTTAGTTTTATGCTAAAAGTTATATCCAGACCTGCTCTTGATTCTACCACAACCTCTCCATTATCACAGAAAACCTTCCTTAAAAGAAAAATTTAAATGTCTTTTTCTTTCAACTAGCATTATTGTGTCTTTTATGTTGAATCACAGAATCATCTAGGCTGGAAGAGACCCTCGGGATCATCGAGTCCAGCCATCTACCCTACTCTAAAGTACTCCCCTACACCATATCCCCCAACACCACATCTTGAATAAGATGTTACCATCACAAATCTGGCCCGCTGGTCCATACACCGTAATCAAATGTAATGGGCAAGAAGTAAACAGTTTTCATACCGTGTTGGAACCTTATTTAGTACAACAAGAAGTAAAGCAAAGCAAATAAAAAGAAAGAACAAGAAGCAAAGAACAGGACTGTTGTAGGCACAATGGCTACAAAGCCCAGCTAATCACAAATCTGGCCCGCTGGTCCATACACCGTAATCAAATGTAATGGGCAAGAAGTAAACAGTTTTCATACCGTGTTGGAACCTTATTTAGTACAACAAGAAGTAAAGCAAAACAAATAAAAAGAAAGAACAAGGAGCAAAGAACAGGATCATTGTAGGCACAATGGCTACAAAGCCCAGCTATGTGTAGGGCTGTCTTATTTTTGTTCTTGTAGTCTTAAAATTGGTAAATAAAATATGACAAAATACAGAACTTTCATCTGGCCACCATCTAGACAGTGCAAACTGTCCCCATTTCACTGGACTCCCAGGACTGGGCAGGACACAGATAACTGGTTTCGGGATCAAACGCATGGACTACTCTGGGGAGAGAATTCTCCATATGATGGCTCTTACCTAAATAAAACCTGTTGCACTTTCATATATAAGTAGTTTAAACACACAGAATAACCTATACAGTAAGTAAGCTGGAAAGAGGAGACAATAATAGGTTTAAAAAGCAGTAAAGGAAAAAATATTACTTCATGTTCAGCAGATTCAAGAGAGATTAAGAATACTCTAATGTGCTCAAAAGCACGAGGTCTCCAACCAGCTGCAGCTGAATGAGTCGAGTTTCAGGAAGATCAGGAGAAGCTGGTTATAGTCAAGGTAGTAAATGATGAGAGTTTTAATTTTGTGGAGAGAATAAAAGAACTCCCTGGTTCTCGGGGCTGGAGGAACTGCTGAGATATGAAACTTGTTTGAATGCCTGGGGCGAGATGGGCAGGACCGGCCGCTTGCCAATAAAAGCAAAAGGACACAAAACAAAGAGAGATAATCCAATTTTGGATGTGTTATCTTCAAGATGGCGGCATGACACATTTCTTGATTTATTAGAAAGACACAATTAATGATCTTTAGATTAGATGGATGGAGACAGCATAGAAAAAGAAAGAAAAGGAGGGACCACCCAAACAGAGAAAAAAAGTAAGAAAGAAAAGGAGGGACCACCCAAACAGAAGTTGTTTTCTCTTCCTAAAGAGGTCTGGAAAAGAGAATTTACCAGAAAGAAGCTCAGAGGATTAAAAAGGCAGGAGATACGGGAAGCGAGGTGTTACAGCTCAGCACCACCCAGTCAGAGTCGGCAGGTTCAGAGAGTAGCCCTGAGAGGGATTAGATGTGTTGACTGCTCAGAGGCACGAATGTTACCAGAGCTCCTAATGACACCATTACTGACAACCAAACAAGATAGGAAAACATCTTTGTCGTTTTGTTTCCCTCTTCCCCTGAGGGAAGAGCTGACAGCCCGATACCTGCCTTCCAGCTGCCAGGCCCCTGGAGAATGGCCGTGCCGGTGGCCGGCAGGAAGGTGTGACAGGACGACAGCCAGGGACCCAGAGGCCAAGCAGCTGGGTCTAACACACCATTTCTTTGAATTAACCATTCTTTCACCTCAAAAATCATAGCCCCAGTATTTTATGATCAGTAGCCACAAAAGTTTGGATAAAAGTTGTCCTGTTTAATAATATGAGAGGTTTCTTTGCTGCATGAAGGCCCCTGTGAGGAGCGGCCAGGGCTGCCTCAAGCCGGTCACAGCCGGTTCCAGCCGGCTCCATCCCACCCACCACCTCAGGGCCCGGCTCAGCCCCTCTGCCAAGATGGGGCTGAGGAGACCAGAGGAGAAGGAGGAGGTGGAGGAGGTGAGGGAGACCAGAGGAGAAGGAGGAGGTGGAGGAGGTGCCTCAGGCACCGGGGCAGAGATTCCCCTCCATCCCCTTGAGGAGACCATGGTGGTGCAGATATCCACAGCATGGAGTACCCCTTGAAGGAACTTCCTGAAAGAAGACCCATGGTGGAGCAGAGTTTTTTCCTAAAGGATGGCAGCCTGTGGGAAGGACCCACATTGGAGCCAGGGAAAAGCGTAGGAGAAAGGAGTGTCAGAGAGGAACCAATATGGCCACAACCCCCAAAAACCAAAAAAAAAGAGGTGGGGGAGGAAGGTGCTTTTTAAACATTTGTCTTTGCTTATCACTATCTGAATCCATTTAAATTGGCAATAAGTTAAATTCATTTTCCCCAAGTGGGACCTGTTGTGCTCATGACAGTGATTGGCAAGCAATCTCCTGGTCTTCACCTCAACCCATGAGGTGCTTCATCTCAATTCCTCCCCGTGTCCCGCTGCGAAGGGCAGCGAGAGAGCAGCCGGGTGGGCAGCTGCAGCCGGAGAAGGTCATCCCACCACATATATCACCCTGACAGTAATCACTGTCATTTTACTGAAGTGATGGAATCAGTACATGGTTGTGAGAGTAGATTTTACACCTTTGGGCCCTGTATTTGCATCTCCACTATGCTGCTTTTATGGTCCATTGATCTCTCTTTCCAAAGAGATTGCTACAACGTCTCTTGTCAATAGATTGTAAGTAGCCCAATTAAAAATCTCTTCAGAACTGACCTTGAGTTTTGCTGTTATAGTCCTACAGTATTTCCAGAAGTTTGTCAACAAAAGAACCAGAAAAATATGGCAATCCATTGTTTCCAAAGCACAAGGGCGGAGTTTATTCTATATTTGAAGACAGCTTTTATGGAACTATGGTAAACAGCTTGTAATCCTACATTAATAATATAAATTGCACATAAATATGGCACCTTTGGAACAGATTTTTTTCCAGGTTTCAAACGGAAATATGCTTAGAAAGGAAAAGTGATTAAAACATTATGGTTGTACTAGGTTTAATCTCTGCTGTAGAAGAAGAAAGCTCTTTAAAGCAAAAATTCTCCAACATATTCCATGGGGAATACTCTTCCAAACATAACTCAAGTTTGCAAGTTATGAATCTGAAAGAAGCTTCATCAAATTTGGGAACATGAAATCTGAGTTTCCAAAGAGAACTATCATAAGAATGCAGGTGGATTATTGTTTGCATGAAGTAAGCTTTAAAATAAAAGTGATTTTTTTTAGGAGATAACATGAATGTGATTCAGGTTTTCTTTGACCACTGCTGAACTTAAGCTTTATTATCACTGTCTTTTAGGGATCTTACCTTCTTCCGCATGTTTCTCATCTTTGACACAGGTATCATGTAAAGACCCATTTGGATGACAGGAACACGGCTGGCATGGATCTGGGCTATCTGGCAATACCTATAAAACCAGAGAGATTGCAAAACAAAATCTTACCTTTAATAATTGGAAACATTTAATTACTTCTTAAACAAAAAGTAGGAGAGAACGGCTTCTGTGTAAGCAGCTTGCACTTTAACAAAAGTGAGATGGTTGCCAAACTTAGCCCATGCAGTCTAGGCATTAAAGTTACATTTTGGATTTTTATTTAGAAACATGTAAGTGATTTAGATACAAATCTGTTTTCAACTAGAACAATAGGTGTAGAGATAATAGCAGATCTTTGTATAATTAAAATCAATAAATATAATGAAGTAGATTTTAGGTATTCGCTACCTAAAGTAATATTGACAAATAGTTCAGTTGTTCTGGTCAACATGATTCAAAAATCTAACTAATGATAGTTGGTCAGTAACTGCACAAAAAGGGTAAGTGAAGAAAAGTGAACATAAGACAGTGGAACAATTTCCTTTTGTTCTTGAAAAGGTTACCTCAAACTTAAGCCTTAGTCTAATATCACACTGGGAATATAAACTAGAAGTTCTGCATGAACTAGGTATACACACATCCTATAGATACACTACACACATATATATGAAATCCCTTTTAATTGGATAATAACTTGATTCAGAGGAAGAAATCAAGTGCCCTGCTGTTGAAGAGATCAGTACTCTTTTTCAAACTCTAAGACTAAACCCAGCGTATTAGGGAGAATGTAATTACTGTTATTTGCTGATATTTTCTGTGTTCAAGGACTGAAAACCAATCAGACAGAAGGCCATGGTTTACCCAACTGAAACTATACAGACAAAATACCAGGAGTTTACAAACACAATAATAGTGTAGCTGTCTAAAGCACAGGCACAGCCCATACTGGCAACACAACCCAATATAAGCTTCATCTTCTGAGAGCTTCAACTTAGATGAAAATACAGTCTTATAGGATGACATGCAAAAAACAATTCCCGCTGCACTGAAAATGAAAGGCATTCATGACACTATAGAATTTCAGCGGTTATTAATTCTATTAAAAATTAACTAAAAATTACAGACTCTCTTTCCCCAATATCCAATATAGCAATATTTCTTTGCTCTTTGATAAAAAATCTTGAAATTCATTACTCTGGCAAGAGTTCTGTGTACAGGACCACATCCTCCTTTGAATTAAATTGAAATCCTAGCTGGTGGCCCTGACCTCAAGCACATTCCTTCCTATCAAGTCAATTCACTTTCGTATTTCTGTGAGCGTTAGCTTTACAGATTTCCAGCTGTGAAAAGCAACTACCGCACTGTCAGAATTAGAATTTAACCTTCATAACATGGCAGTCCAAGCTGTGTCATATCTCTTTTTACCGTCAAGTGACAAGAGAACAGGCGTTTACCCCTTTAGGTCTGAAGTAACCATCGATGCAGGTCTCGCAGTTGATGCCGCCGGTGTGGTTGGTGCAGTTGACACACACTCCGCCCCCGATGTATTCTCCGTGGATGTTCAAACTCTGATTTCTGTCTGCAATGTCCTGGTCATAGTAACACTCCTCGGCCTTCCCATGGCAGTTGCACGCTGAAAGAGAAGGAACTGTGTTAGTGAACACTTTCTGGATGGAGATACCACTCTCTTATTACGGTATTAAAGAAGAGTCGTTCACCGTTCTACCGCTGGTGCTGCACACATTGGAACCAATAGCACATCCAAACACCAATTTACTCCTCCAGCTGCAAAAAGTAATGTGGTCCCATCACAAATGCAGCCTGGAACCCTGTATATTGGTATTTTTTCTCCATATTTTGTCTGGGGGAGGCATCGAAGTTGACAGATACAGCCCAATTATGTTCTTCCTGTTTTGCTCTAGGGTGTGTTTTTTTCTGTTTAAATTGATAGTCCAGAAACCTTTGGTGGTTACACACACGGTTAATGAAAGGGTCAGCTAATTTAACAAACAAGAGGAATTATAAGGAAAGCAACAGAATGGTATATGTAAATATATAATTTCCATGAAAGCTGAAAGACATCCTGAAAACACTTGATTTGCACATACGCACATAAGAACTGGGTCACAACAATGAGACTCTGCATCTTAAAACTTCTTTAGAAGCTCAGATTTGAACTCCTAGGCTTCAGGTCCACATGCAGGAGAGCTAACCTAATAATCTGTTGCTGTGAAAATGAGGTAGCTCACTCTCTCCTTTCCCCTGGGGTATTAAAACATTCATTTCCACATAAAGAGAAATTCAAAGCCCGTCAACATGGCAGGGAGTCATTCTCCTCACATCTGAGCCAGATCCCAGGGAACAGCCTCCACCATGAAAGCACAATTCACCAAGGGTTGAATGGGGCATAAGAAGCACCTCTTGAAACTTCAAAATGGAAATAAATGTACCCTGATTTCATCCCAGAATGCATTCCCAGTGCAGACACAGTCCCTATGAAACAAAGACCTCTGTGACCAAAGTTTACAGGACACAAATAAGTGATTACTACTTTTAATATGGGGATATCTGTTTCTTTTTCTTTATTTTTAGCCACTCATAGTAGAACTATGGCTGCAATCCTACAATTGAATAAACACGTACAAGAAATGGAGCACTAGAATTTATTATGTTTAGAAAAATAAGTGGTACATGACCTTTGGAAGGAAGATGTTAAAGTTCAGTTATAACTATCCTTACTACGGCAAATCTGAAAATGAAATTCCCACCCTGTGGGAAGGTGATATTTCAGGGTTGGAAAACTAGATACACTGATTTTTCCATTGAAAAAATCCGAAACTCAAATTGCATTTTGATAATGTAAAAATATTTTGTTTCAGCAAGGCTGAACGTTATAATACACAAAAGTGTAATTTATACACAAATCATGCTGTTGAAGTTTAATATAATGAAAAATCTATAAAAAAGATTTTTTACTCATCAGGATAGTCCTGTTATTGTATCAAAACAAACCACCACAATTATAAAAATTAAACAAATCAAAATGACTTTTTATCTACTATTCCACCAATATCAGCATGTTACACTACAATATTGTGAGTTTAATAAAACCATGAATCTTCATGTAATTGTTCTGTTAACTTTTTTGAGCCAACCTAAGCGAACAACGACTGATGTATAAACAAGCATGGTTAGAAATAAAATTAATTGAAAAATCATGTAGGATCTGACCAGTTTTCACCAGCAGCTGCAATAAACCTTCTCTTCTGCAGAAGGTTTTGACTTACGTTCACATTCGTGCTTAACCAGGAAAGTGCCCGCGTGCCAGGGCTGCTGATTGAAACCCGGACAGCACCGATCACACGTCTCCCCGCATGTGTTGTGCTCACACTGACAGATGGATTTCTAATTTAAAAGAAAAAATAAATATTTACACAACGTGATGATTTGAAGAATCTGTCCATGTACATAATCTGCGTTCGGGTTCAAATTATGAAAACATTAAGAAAGGCTATATTCTGTAATTCCTCTGTTTGTTCATCTTTATTCATTTATGTACCCTGCACTCACCAAGTGAGAGGCAAAAGGGTGTGTTTACCCTCTGTAGCTGTGTTGTAAGGCAACAGCCACGGTGTTGTCCACGGTGGTCCTTTGGCCAGGAATCTAAGGGGAATCTAAGGACACAGGAGAATCCAACCCCAACTGGCTGAAGAAAGGAGGACGGGATTTTTCTTCTAACTTTAGCATTAATCTTTTACTGGATGAGTCAAGTCATCGTGTAACCTTCTAACTGTGTAACTAATTCTATGTGAGGGATGGTGGAAGTTTTTAAACTAACAGGAGAAGGGAGCAGGATCACTCCTGCAGTGGCTTCTCCGTTCCTCAGCATATCATCTCAGCTTAGCCACAGCATTAAAATATTGCTGTAGGGGACACCCAAATTGCAGTTCCTCAGCAGATCATCTCAGCTTAGCCACAGCATTAAAATATTGCTGTAGGGGACACCCAAATTCTCAGAGCCACAGAAACAGCTTGGAAGAGATAAAAGAAAGCATGGTTTGGAGAAATGAGGAGCAAAAATAGCCTTCCCAGTAATTATTCAGTGGAGGGGATTCTCTGTGGTCCTTGTGAAGCCACCCAAGGTCAAAGCAGCAAGCTCAACCTGGAGAAATTCTACGGCTGACAAGACAAAGCATAAATCTTAAGTTAAGGAATGCTTCAGAAAAGCAGCAAACTCAAGCAAGTTTATTCCCTGTAGCACTAGGTGAAAGATTCCTTCTGCCAACAACCAGAATTGTGATGTTTATAAGCCAGAGCCCTCCTCTTTTGGTATGGCCCAGTCTAAGGAGCATCCCTGGAGAGAGAAACCAAATGCACCAAATCTCCTATGGTTTGGGTTGTTTCACTTACACTATTTTTTATACTGGTTAGACAATGATTACATGTTTGTCACCCTGCAAAACAAGACACTACACGTGTCAAAATGCCTTTATTTTATTTAGCAGCCAAATTATCTGAAGTACATATTAAGGGGATTAACAGCACTTAGGGCTGGCACTGAGACAACGCTGCGGTTCAGCTCCTAAGGCCATCTGAAACAACAGCTCAACGCCTGCCCTACACGTCATCACAGAAAAGGCTTAGAAGGATTAAACCAAGGAGGTTGTAAATTTTTGACAAGGTCCCATGGAAACTGCTTAAACTGTAAATGCATTCTCTGTAAGATTCCTTCCAGGATTTTTTGGTTGTTTGTTGTTTATTTTTTTTTAATCAGTTCCTACACAATGGCTTGATTTTTTGTTAAATCCTACAAAGCTCCTACTTAAGTGAGCAGTATATGAAGAGATCCCACATTGTGGCACATTAGTAATACTAGCAGATTGGAAATTCTGTGTTACTGATAATTACTGCATGCATGTGTATAGATTTCAACCATCACTAACATATTTCTATATTTCAGTTGTATTGGTTATGTGCCTATTGACTGTGTAAAAGAAAGCTGCAAGTTGGAAGAAATTATAAAGAGCTCATGATTTTCTAGACTATCTTGACTGATCACTCAATTAATATTTCCTCCACAGTAAACGCACCATTCTAGAGCCATCATTTTTTTGCAACTATCAATTAAATATTTGACATTTAGGAAACACCTTGATTGATATCAACAAGAAAAAGGTAGACTGACTGTTAGTGCTCACCTCCACAGCTACATCACGTTACCCAAATTTCTGCTGTTCCCAGGGTAGTTTCAGTGTGGACTGAATTACCTGAAACTATTCTTTCATTTCAGAGAAAGCCTCCGCTGACATTGTATGAATGTTTATTATTCTGATTGCCAGCACTGTTTCATCCTGGCACTGCTTCTGAGTGTTCTTCTGGGTGAGGAACAGACATAAATTCACAGAACTCTGAGGAATATCAACATTTTTTTCTCATGTTCCTCCCAAGGTTAAGGCAAATTAAAAATAAAAAATAAGTAAAAAGAAAGAAAATACATACATTGGTCGTTGGATCCAGTGGGCAAGCCTTCGCATGGCCTGAACATATACACATGCCTCCAACTGAGATATCTTTTATAGAATAGTAATACTGTAAGACAAAACAGAAATTGAATTGCTAAATGGATTGTAAAACGCAGGTGCCAAGCTGCAAAATTCATTCCTAGTGACAAAACTGTCAGGTCCTCTTTTATTTCTTTTTTGATCTATTACAAATATAGCAGACAGTGTAATAATCCAAGCTGCGTCTTGATCAAGAGATTCAGGCTCAGTGAAAGAAAGAGTATAAATTGGCAAAGTTCCGTTTGTTTGAAGTCACAAGAGCCACATGGGTTTATACACAGCACACCCCAAACACGAGCACAGGAGAAGGCTATTTAATGAAAAGCCAAATGCTATAGAATTTATTCCCTCCAGAAAGCATGAAAAGGAAAAGGCGTGGCGATGGGGAAGAGAGAAAGGTGAGAACAAAAACTAAGAAAAAAGCACTTTTGTTCACCTGAGCTGGGTCTCAACTGGGCATTCACTAGACTATGGAAAGACGAATTTGTTATTGGCCTTTTGAATGACTGTGGAATAGCCTTCATTATTGAGATTTAAATAACTTCTAAACGTGTTGCTCTGCCATTTGACCATTTCTATTTTTATTTTGGTGGGGACCAATAGCCCTAACCAGAAAGAAGGATGGAAAAATATTTATAACCATGTATTATGACATCTGCGAAAAATGAAGCTCGCATGCTGTTTTGTCCATTTTCACCTGTTTTGTGAGGGTCCTGTAACATCCTAACAACTGACTAATCAAAACAAACATGTGCTATTTGAAAATTTTGCTGTTTCTGCATTCAACTCTTTCTCAGATCATTAATAAACATATCAAACGAAATGAGAACTCATATAACTCACAGTTAACTTTCTGCCACACAGAAAATGTATCATTTATGGCTACCCTTTGTCTTCTGTTTTGCAGAACAGGAAATTTTGTGTTTCTGTTCACTTAGATTATTAAATGTGCACTCTTACGTAAACACAGTTTCCATGACTAATGAGGCTGCAATAACTGCACTCAACTGGAAGGGTTTCTGGCCAATTCCAAACTTTTGGAAATAGCCAGCGCTATTGGAGGAAGAAATGGAAACCAGAAGTGTGGAACGGAAGTAGCAAATTTTCTTTGCAGTTATGCAGCATTGATAAATGATATTAAATCAAGCCAAGAATAACCATACTGCCTCTCATAAGAGGGCTTTACTATAGTGCTACCCTAAACAGCTTCCCAAAAGAAAAATAAGGTGGCCAACAGAAAGAGGAAGTGAGCAGAAAGTGACAAAAAGTGGTAAAAAAACCAGAGGAAAAATAGAATAACACACATTTAAACAGTGGGAAAACAGGGAGATGTGGCATTGGAAAAAGGAACAGATTGTGGAAAGAAGAGATTGGGGTGTGCACACAGTGCAGAAGACAGGGGTGTGCTGTGAGTTTGAGTGCTGCATCCATTCTTCTAAGCTAAACCATGGCATAAAATTTTTAGCGTCAGCAACAATCGTATAATAACGCTACAAGTGTTGCGTTCAGGCACTACTACTACCTTTGGCACCACTAGTACAAAGTCTGCTCAAAGGCTTCAAGAATCCTAGAGACAGCAAAGGATTGAGCAGCAGCAGAGGCAAGAGGACACTATCTAACAGCAATCACTCTATCTAACAGCAATCACTCGCCAGTTACCTGCATCCCGATGGTTGCAGCCAAAGGGGCCGTGTGCTGACGTTAAAAAGCATGTTATGTATGTTAATAACAACCAGTTACCTGCATCCCAATGGTTACAGCCAAAGGGGCTGTGTGCTGATGTTAAAAAGCATGTTATGTATGTTAATAACACCATTAAGCAGAAAATATAACACTGTTAGTTCTGCTGTAGAGAAGATAATGAAATGCTGTGAAGAGGGAATCCTCTAACACTGGGATTTTGACAAACAACAAGAGGTGAGTTGTTGGTGGGTATTTCCAACGGAAGGTACAGCATTCACAAGCGTAACAGAACTTGTACACCTGCTTTTCTACTCTCTTGCCAGAACTTACCCTCCGTGTAACGATGGGATCGATTTCATTTGGATCTTTGTGTGCAAACATCATTAAGTCAGCATTTAGTGTCCGTATCCTCTGAAATCTCAGGCGGATGAAGCGGGCAGAGGTAAACTCCAGTAATTCACGCGAAGGATCATCAGCGCTAGGCCGTCCATTAATTAGGGAAGTGTGAATCTGAAGACAGAATTATTAAAACAATAAGAAATTAGATGACAGCAATGCTGTCAACGATTGTCAACATAATGTTGGCATAATGTCAACGATTACGCCAACAAATATCATCGAAGGCACTGTGTGAATGCCTTTGTAAACGTAAAGTTCCTTCTTTCTTCAGAAAGTAGATTTCCCTGCAAAAATATTCCATGTACTCACAGACCCCAGGCATAGAGAGGCTTTACAGTAAAAACATTTTGAGCAAAGGAAAATAATCAGCTACAGAAAGATTGTAACACCAACTGCATATGTGTACCACGGCCCTACAATAGTGGCAATGTAAAGCCCCTTCTTTCTTCAGAAAGCAGATTTCCCTGCAAAAATATTCCATGTACTCACAGACCCCAGGCATAGAGAGGCTTTACAGTAAAAACATTTTGAGCAAAGGAAAATAATCAGCTACAGAAAGATTGTAACACCAACTGCATATGTGTACCACGGCCCTACAATAGTGGCCATGCTGCGGGCAACTCATTTCTCCTCCTCCAGTCTAAAATAGGTATTTTCAATTTATTGAATGACCAAAAGGCTCCAAAATTTTAAATTAAAGAAATGGATAGATGGAACGCGACTCAGAATTCAACAAGAGCCAGTTTGCACCTCTTATGCAGCAGACATCATCCACAACCACATCAAGCTGCAGCAGCTAGAGGAGACACAATAAGCATTCATCAGCATCTCCCCTTTCTCTGTCTCTTTACACAACACATCATTTCTGTTGAATCTTGTACTCAGCAAGTTGAAGCAATTTCCTGGGTTGCAACTGGTTTCACCTGGTCCCTAAGGAAGGTGGGGGATCACCTCTTTATCACTTCCAAGAACTCTCTTCAGCATTTTTTTCCAAAGGCGATACCAATCTCTGCCTACACCGTGGCTCCTGTAAAGATTGCCCCTTGTTCTCTGCCTGCCCACCCTAAACTCTGGAAGTCTTCTAGGTGTGTGCCCCCTGTGGCTCTTCCATAAAGAGCCCTTGTGACCCCAATTGCAGCATCAAGGGCAAGGCAACAAAAATAAGCAATCTTCTTCCCTTCCTGCCTTTTCAGCCGATCGTGGCACACATTAGCTGTGACTCAACAGAATAAAACAGATGGGCGGCTACAGAATTGTTCTTGGGAAAGGCCTACAAGAAGAAGAACGTCAGGTACAGCAAAATGTTGTTAATGAGCACCTAGGGGGAGGGAGGAAAGAAACCACTCATTTTCCTGTATTTTGAAGTGTTAAATTTTAATTGGGGCATTTTTATTACAGGCTGGTGCAGTGCAAGAATGCTCAGATGCCGAGCCAAACGTGTGGAACATTAGAAGGAATAAGAGAATGATCTATTCTTTGCAATCAACACGTTGTACACCTTACCTGGGTGCTGTGAGGGAGCGCTCAGGCCACACAGCCATTTGCTGACATTGAATGTGATGATATTTACCACTGTTTTAGGCAAAGAGCTGCGCTCCAGGTGCCAGCTGGCACTCGCTCGGCTGTGGAAAGAGACAGAGAATCTACTGCTCCCAGCAAAGCAGTAGCTCTTCCTCTCCTGGAGTTTTCACAGACACTGGGTAGAAGCCTGATGGAACAACTGCTGTCTTGCACTGGCTGCATGATACTATTAACTTACTTATTTTCACCACCAACGGGGAAACCCTCAGCCTCATCACATCTAGCATCCTTCTACAGCGTATCCACAGCTGTGCGAAATCAGGGGGAGCCACTCTGCCAGGAGCAACTGTCAGCCCTGTCTTGCCTGAGTATGAATCAGCACCTCCAGGCTGCCACCAGGTGATCTCCAGCAGTAGGTGACATTGCTACCTCCTCCTGAGATCATAACAACACCCTCACTTCGAGCTCTGACTCAATCTTGCTCCTGACTACGAGTAATTAAATTAAAGGAGACAGTTGGCTGGAAACAAACAGGATAAAATGCTATGAAGAAGACAGAGTACAAACAAAAGATTATAATAAAACCTCCAGAGAAGCAAGGAGGGGCTCCTGAACGAGAAATGTCTAGTGACAAGCAGGGCAAAACCAGACAACCAGAGAGAGCAAACTGTTCCTGTCCCTGGTGAAGAGCGAGAGGAGAACACGTGTGGAGAGCAAACTTCAAAAGAAGCCGGGAGATGGTGGCAACAGGTCCCACAGAAAGTGACAGATCTTTCCAACAGAAGCAAGATTTGGGTAAGAACACATGCCTAAAGACTTCTTTGCATAATATTTACCTGTGAGCAAGGAAATACATTGGAGTGGTTTTTCACACTGTCATCTCTTTCCTTTAAACAGGATCCAAGAGATTTCTTTCTTAGAGGCATCAAACATAGACGGGGTGTAGTTTGAAGCAGCAGAATACTAAAGACTGAACTTTGATATTCCAGAGATAAAGAAGAAATATAGCTAAAGTAGAGCTGAAAACATCCCCTGGCTCACTCTGAGACAGCACCAGCACCATGGCTATAAGCAGCATGGTAGAGTATCTCATCAAAAAGATAAAAAATTAAGCTTTTGGGCGTGGGGGGAAAAAGATGTAGGTAAAAGGCCGTGTATCAGAATAAGCCCACAGAGAGTTAAAAGCATGAATCACGGACACAGCTTGACCCCAGATGACACAGCTGACAAATTGCAGTCATATTTATATTTTTTAAAAAAGAACAAATTCAGTCACCGATGGGAAAAAAACCCACCACCCTGGAGCGGTGGCTTTACAGAATTAAAAAGTAAATTAACCAAATAAAACAAGGGGCATCCTTTTCAGAACAGATCCCCTTTTAAAAAGTTTTCACGGGTCTATCTGCCAGCAGCACACCTCTTTGGCAAGGCTAAACCAGTAGAGATGATGACTTCCATTTATATTGTCTTTCACGCTTGTGTTTAAATGTTTCACAATTTAATTTTAAAATGACAAACAATTTCTCATAAGGACTGAAAGGCAGCTATGTCCTGCGTGAAATGGGGCACCTGTTCAAACACCAAAATGAGACTGAGATTAGGAAATTAAAACTGGGTACCTGAAGGGAACATTTTACACAGGCAAAATTAATTACTGTAAATTATTTTTCCTCCTCTCAACATCTGTGATGAAATCATTAATCTCTCCCTAGAAACATTTAGAATCAACTTGAAGAGTGTCCAACTAAGTTCTTCCTACCCCTTGAAAAGAGAACAAGGAAGAAACTAAGAGTACTTTGGGAACATCTGTCATTAATCATGAATAAACAGTAAGAATTTTAAATAACTTTTTTAAGGAAGTTTAAGTAGAAATCAGACTTACAATATTTTCAATACTGCTCTCACAATGAGACATCACTGCAGTTTTACACACATCAGAGTCCTACGGCAGAGCTAAGATCCAAAACTGAGTCTACCAGGAATATATTAATACTTTAATTCACCCATTGGGCTACTAGAATTTGGATAATCCAAGTCCCCGTGAGGGAACAATCTCAAATGTTGCTCAGGTTTTATGGACAACTTTTATTTACCAATTTCAAGATTGAGGTAATCGCCATTTTGGATTCTAAATGAAAGTGATGTAGATTTCAACCTTAGAAAATTTTTTTCCTTAGCAGGGAATACTTCCAGGATTATATTCCAACAAATGGGATCTTTGAGGGAAATGAGTGTTCCCTTCCACAACATCTAAATGTTACCACAATGAAAGCCAAATTCTCGTTTTGAAAAATAATTTTGAATGGTGTCTGATTTGTCAAACAGTTGACTAGAACTAGTCAAGCAAAAGGGTATGATGACCTTTTCCAGTAGCTACATTAGCAACTGTATGTTCAAAAAGATTATATCACAGAATGGCTGAGGTTGGAAGGGACCTCTGGAGATCATCTGTTCCAACCCCCTTGCTCAAGAAGGGCCACCTAGAGCCAGTTGCCCAAGACCACGTCCAGATGGCTTCTGAATATCTCCAAGGACTCCACAACCTCCCAAGGAAACATGTGCCAGTGCTCGGTCACATTAAAAAAGAGCTTCCTGATCTTCAAATGAAACCTGCTGTGTTTTGGTTTGTGCCCATCACCTCCTGTCCTGTCACTGGGCACCACTGAGAAGAGCATGGCTCTGTTCTCTTCGAACCCTCCTTTCAGGTAGTTACACACATTGGTAAGAGCTTTCTCTTCTCCAGGCTGACCAATCCCAGCTCCCTCAGCCTTTCCTAATAGAAGAGATGCTCCACTCCCTTCATCATCTTTGTCACACTTCACTGGACTCTCTCCAGTATGTACTGAGGACACCAGAACTGGACTCAGTACTCCAGATACAGCTTCACCAGTGCTGTATCTTTGACCTTGACCTTGCTACCCTTGACCTGCTGGCAACACTTTGGCTAATGCTGCCCAGGGTACGTTTACCTTTGCCACAAGGGCCCATTGCTGGCTCATGTTCAACTTGGTGGCCATCAGAACCTCTGAAATCCTTTTCTGCCAAGCTGCTTTCAAGCTGGATAGCCCCCACCACGTGCTGGTGCCTGCGGATGCTCCTCCCCAGGTCCAGGAAATTACACTCAACCTTGCTGAACTTCATGAGGTTCCTGTCAGCCCATTTTGCCACCCTGTAGAGGTTCCCTCTGGATGGTAGCATTATCAGCCACTCCTCCCCGTTTGGTGTCATCAGCAAACTTTCCCCATCATTCTGCCCCATCATCCAAACCATTATTGAAGATGTTAAACAGGACTGGACCCAGCAGCACATATTCAAGTTAGTTTAGTTACCAAGTTGTCTATCTTCTGTATTTGGCTGGGAACCAAAGCTTCTAAGTTATTGGAAAAACGCATACTCCGGTTAAAGGACAAAACAGAAAAGCCCTTTTGTAACACCAAAGATCTACCTCATTCAATGTCCTGTCTCCAAGAGAGGCCAGCAGAAAGCGATTAGGAAAGAATATAAGAAACTGGGTATTTTGAGAGTGATCCCTCTGACACAATCTCATCCCTTCCTCTGACTAAACAGTCTAAACGCTTCCTGAGCTACCC